GTGTGTGAGTGTGTATGCATGTGTGTGTGTATGTACGTATGTGTGTGTGTGTGCGTGTGTGTGTGTGTGTGTGTGTGTGTGTGTGTGTGTGTGTGTTTACGAGCCAGCGCGTGCGCGTCATTACCTTCCATGGGGTTGTGGTATATCAGGTAGTTGTTGTCCATTCTCTTCTGCTTCCTGTAGAGCGCGGAGTACATGAACAGGTTAAATCGGAACTTGCGGGAGCGCTGCTGTCGCCGCAGGTAGTAGTGGTGGTAGGCGCTGTTGTTGCCGCTCGGCCTCCCGCTAGTCCGGCACGGCGCCGGGCTCACGGACATGGGGCTGACCCCGCTACTACTCACACCGGACAGTCCAGACAGGCCGGACACGCAAACGGACGACGGGCTCTGGTGGTCAAGCCATGACGTCAGAGGTGACGACGGCGACCAGTTGTTGGTCGAGTGGGTAGCGTAGTGATGGTCAGCAGCAGCAGCAGCGGTGGAGGCGGTTTGCGACCGGTTCGAACTCCAGCAGGGTCTAGTTGGGTGTAAACATTGCTCGTTGGGTGGGGTTATGGCGGATTGCTCTTCGTAAGTGTTGACGTTACGGTTGGTTTTGTTATTGGTATTGCGTTTTTTAGACGATGAGAAAGTACGAGTGGAAATGGCGGCGTCTGGAGACGGCTCTGAGAAAGAAGAAGGGTAGGAGGACGTGTTCAGTTTACCACGCGACTCCAAGTCACGGGAGCCTAGCGTCACTTCGCTCGCCCAAGCAGCTATGTCCTGGTAAGTGCGATATGAGTTGGGCATGTGAGCTGAACACGCCCGGCCGCCGCACTGAGACGACGAATTATTATTGCATCCGTGATACGCGCATGGGGAGGAGGAAGGAAAAGGAGCGGAGGAAGAAGAGGAATGGCGGTGACCCTCCGAGGAGGAATAACCGATCCGGAGTTCTTCGCTGAGCCGGCAGAGAGCCGCGCTTTTGTTGAGAAGGTTGAGAACGCTGAGACTAGCATCTCGACGTTCTGTGGACGACGCCCGAATAGCACCTCTAGGGCGGTGCCGCGTTCCTCCTCCTGCACCACCGTGTTGATGATGATGGTGATGATGAAGATGATTGTTGTGACTGCCGTTGTTGTTGCTGTTCCCTACTCCCTGATGCTGTTTGCTGCTGCTGCCGCCGCTCTTGCTGCTGCTGCTGCTGTCTCCGTTGTTCAGGCTTCGTAGCGGGCTCCGCGGGCCTTCTCCATAAGACTTTGTGACGTGCGTGTGGCTACGTGACCGGACTTTGCTGTGTCCGGTTGTGCAGCTACGCTCGTTGAGCATGCTGCTTTTACTGCTGTTGCTGCTACTGCTGCTACTACCACTACTGTTGTTACTGCTGGCAGAAGACGTAGCCGCTTTCTTTACACCGGGCGGACACGAATGTGTCGTCAGGCGGCGTTGGTCTACCTCCAGCATCGCATCAGAGGAACGCCCACACACGCAGGCAACTGCTGGTTGTGCAGGTTTAATAATAGCCCATTTCAACACGGTACGTTTGTGTAAAAGGCAGGATCTCCAAACTTAAAGTCCATCTCCGACAGGATCGAGCCAGGTGGGTGAAGAGCCTTGAAAACCTCACTGAACAAACCAATTCCAATTACGCCCAATCAGGGATAAGTCAAGGAGAAGGATTGTGAAGATGCCGACATATCGCAATAACACGTCATCGGCACTATATATATATATATATACAGCTACAGTCATAAATATGTTCCTTACACAGTTATAGGCTCAGGGTAGGAAACCTTTAAACATAGTAACTCCATGTCTTCCGATTTTCACATCGACACACAATAAATCGTTTCAGGCATACACATCTTTAAAGGGTTTTTTTTTCGAAAAAAAAATCGTATACCAAAAGAATATAAAAATGACCATCATCCCATCTAATTTATATAGTTTAAAAAACACTAGAAAGGACGCCTTTCTTTCTTTTGTTAAAATTGTATCATCGCACTACAGGTTAACTCCAGTACTCAGAGTAGCAGTTTCACTACGAGCTTTACGGCACTACGTGTAACACAATAAGGTTATATAGATGCTGAAGATTAGAAGGCGTTACTAGAGACTATCATCATACAACAAAAAAGGAGACATAGAAATCTGATAGGAAAGACGGAGCAAACCGCCAACCACCCCCATTTATCACAGACAAAGAACATGATATTACACAATTGACGCCAAACACGGTGTAACTGGTGTTGCTTGTCTGCACGCCAGCGCAAGATTTCTTTACAAAAATATTTCATACAACCAATAATGCAGGCGTCAGTGACTTACAGAGAAGCGCTTACCAATATCATTGTTCTAAAAATACAACCGACGCGACATTTATGAACAATCGTTGCGCAACAGGACTGGGACAATCTTTATAAAGAAATCTAAATCACGATTAACAATGACACGTGGATTAGCTCGCGATCAAGGAGTACTATACAGATTTAAATTTCACAACCACGGAATTCATTTGTGGATGTTTGTCTTTACTAGAAAAATTAATACTACTGGTATCAACAAACCTAGAATTTCGCAATGTTTTGCAGAGAAATCTTTCCGCAAACGTGCACGGCATACAAAACGATGTCACACATTAATCCTTTATAAAAAAAAACCAAATCAAAGATGTATTTTTGGCGTTGGTGTAGTGGTAAGGGACTCGGACCCTCAAACGTCTGGTCGTGGTTTTAAATCCCGCCAGTGGCCCGAAGTTGTATCCTTGGAAACGACATTGTACACGCATTTTTTCCTCAGGGAATGGGTACCCGGCTAAAGCTAGAAAGCGAAAGACCATACCAGTGTGTTAGTGTTTGAGCACTTGAATCAATCGGACGCTTGCCCTGTTTGCTTCCTGGGAAGCCTAGAATGTTTCTGGGTATCCTACGGTCTGCTGGGGGGTAAGAGTAGTTGTAAAGCGCATATGATATGCTGTGGGGTTTGGACACGTGCTATGTAAAGGCAAGAATAATAATAAGAAGAAGAAGAAGAATAATAATAATAATAATAATAATAATAATAATAATAATAATATTATTA